AGTGAGCCTCACCTCAGTCTCTGGAAAAATCATGGAGCAGGTCCTCAAGGAATCAATTCTGAAGCACTTGGAGGAGAGGAAAGTGATCAGGAACAGTCAGCATGGATTCACCAAGGGCAAGTCATGCCTGACTAATCTAATTGCCTTCAATGACAAGATAACTGGCTCTGTGAATGAGGGGAAAGCAGTGGATGTATTGTTTCTTGACTTTAGCAAAGCTTTTGACACGGTCTCCCACAGTATTCTTGCCAGCAAGTTAAAGACGTATGGGCTGGATGAATGCACTATAAGGTAGATAGAAAGCTGGCTAGATTGTCGGGCTCGACGGGTAGTGATCAATGGCTCCATGTCTAGCTGGCAGCTGGTATCTAGCGGAGTGCCCCAAGGGTCGGTCCTGGGGCCGGTTTTGTTCAATATCTTCATTAATGATCTGGAGGATGGTGTGGATTGCACCCTCAGCAAGTTTGCGGATGACACTAAACTGGGAGGAGAGGTAGATACGCTGGAGGGTAGGGATAGGATACAGAGGGACCTAGACAATTAGAGGATTGGGCCAAAAGAAATCTGATGAGGTTCAACAAGGATAAGTGCAGAGTCCTGCACTTAGGACGGAAGAACCCAATGCACAGCTACAGACTAGGGACCGAGTGGCTAGGCAGCAGTTCTGCAGAAAAGGACCTAGGGGTTACAGTGGACGAGAAGCTGGATATGAGTCAACAGTGTGCCCTTGTTGCCAAGAAGGCTAACGGCATTTTGGGATGTATAAGTAGGGGCATTGCCAGCAGATCGAGGGACGTGATTCTTCCCCTCTATTTGACATTGGTGAGGCCTCATCTGGAGTACTGTGTCCAGTTTTGAGCCCCACACTACAAGAAGGATATGAAAAAATTAAAAAATGTCCAACGGAGGGAAACAAAAATGATTAGGGGACTGGAACACATGACTTATGAGGAGAGGCTGAGGGAACTGGGATTGTTTGGTCTGCGGAAGAGAAGAATGAGGGGGGATTTGATAGCTGCTTTCAACTACCTGAAAGGGGGTTCCAGAGAGGATGGCTCTAGACTGTTCTCAGTGGTAGCAGATGACAGAACGAGGAGTACTGGTCTCAAGTTGCAGTGGGGGAGGTTTAGGTTGGATATTAGGAAAAACTTTTTCACTAGGAGGGTCGTGAAACACTGGAATGCATTACCTAGGGAGGTGGTATCTCCTTCCTTTGAGGTTTTTAAGGTCAGGCTTGACAAAGGCTTGGCTGGGATGATTTAGTTGGGGATTGGTCCTGCTTTGAGCAGGGGGTTGGACTAGATGACCTTCTGAGGTCCCTTCCAACCCTGATATTCTAGGATTCTAACCGAAAATGAGAAATCATCATCCAACAGGTGTGTTTCCAGGGGAATTGGTTCTTGGCCCTTTGCTGTTTAATATTTTTATCAATGACCTGGAAGAAAACATAAAATCATCACTGATAAAGTTTGTAGATGACACAGAAATTGAGGGAGTGGGAAATAATGAAGAGGACATGTCACTGATACAGAGTGATCTGGATCGCTTGGTAAGCTGGTCACGAGGAAACTATGCATTTTAATATGGCTTATATGTAAGTGTACACATCTAGGAACAAAACATGTCGGCCATACTTACAGGATGGGGGACTCCATCCTGGGAAGCAGTGACTGAAAAAGATTTGGGGGTCATGGTGGATGGTCAGCTGAACATGAGATCCCAGTGCGATGCTGTGGCCAAAAAGGCTAATGTGATTGTGGGACCCATGAATAGGGGAATCTCAAATAGGAGACAAGATGATATTTTACCTCTCTGTTTGGCACTGGTGCAACTTCTGCTGGAATTCTGTGCCCACAATTCAGGGAGGATGTTGGTAAATTGGAGGGGATTCGGAGAAGAGCTATGAGGAATGATTAAAGGATTAGAAAACCTGCCTTCCAGTGACAGACTCAAGGAACTCAGTCTATTTAGCTAAACTAAGAGAAGGTTAAGGGGTAACTTGATCACAGTATATAAGTACCTGCATGGGGAACAAATATTTTGGTAATGGGCTCTCCAGTCTAGCAGAGGATGGTAAAACACAATCCAACGGCTGGAAGTTAAAGCTACATGAATTCCAACTGGAAATAAGATGTACATTTTTAACAGGGAGGGAAATTAACCATTGGAACAATGTACCAAGGGTCATGGTGGCTCACTGGCAATTTTTAAATCAAGACTGCATGTTTTTCTAAAGCTCTGCCCTAGGAATGATTGTGGGGCAGGTCTCTGGCCTGTGCTGTAGAAGGGGTCAGACTAGATGATCACAATGGTTCCTTCTGGCCTTGGAATCTGTGCACCTCTTTCCCAGGCTGCCAGAATCAAACTCAGAGAGACGAGGTGGGCGAGGGTTAGGGTCTTTTATTGGGCCAGCTTCTGTTGGTGAGAGATTAAATATCCCAGTGCTCTCCTGTGAGCTCTCCCCATGCCCAGGGCAGGACACGGCAAGAGAGGGATGTCATTAAATGGGAGACAGGAAGGGCAACTGAACAAAACAGCTAATCAGATTCTGCACAAAGTGCTGTCAGATACACAAAGAGACAAAACCTTCCTTGCTAGCAGTTGTTAGTCGTTCCAAACCTGTCCCTACAGCAGAAGACGATGTTTTCAGGACAGGGCGCTGGAGATGACTCTCCATATTAGTGCCGATACCTCTGCCTACATCAGTGCAGTTGCATCACAAACTATGCTAGTGTTGACACAGCAAAGCCCTGGGCTCACTCCATTCGACAGAGTGCACCTTCCTGCTCCCGCCCTGGAGAGAGCTCTGCTTAACCTCCACGCAGTCTGTGACTCACCAGGACTTCGCCAGTGGGAGACCCCTACACACCTGAATTAAATTCCTGTGACATGTAACAGCAGCGTATGGAGAACATGCAAGAGCAGAGAGGTGAGCATCTCTTCCCGGCCCTTTTGTACCAGAGCAACGGTCACTTTGTACAGAGGCAGCAATGCCCACGGTGGCATGCAGCGTCCCCGTTCTCCAGTGCCGCCTGCCCTGCATGCATGCAGCTGTGCGCACGCTCTCCGGACAGAGGCAGGTCTCAGCAACGATTCTGCTGCAGGAGCACGGAGGGGAGCTGACTGGCTGTGGCCAGGAACCAACCCTTGTCTGTGAGGAACAGCTGACCACCCCGGTGCCTCCGCAGTGGGCTGTGACATTAGAGAGCATTGGATGTAGGGTCAGAGCTATGCTGGGCACTTTACAGCTCACGTGAGAACATGGGTCCTGCCCTGAAGAGTTTCTACTGCAAAGGGATCATGGCAAGACACCGTGGGAGATGAAAGCCAGGGGCTCGGCATGAGGCAGGAACTTACAGAGCAAAGTTCTGGGGCGGCCTGGGTTGGACCGTCCCAGCATGCCCATTCCTAGGCAGCTTTCCGCATGTGTGATCATTTAGGGGAGTCAGCGGGACAGTGGAGAATCTGAGAGCGGAGAGGGGGGCTGTATGGCATGCAGGGTCAGGGAGGACTCCAGGGCAGCATGGATGGGGCAGGAGGCTGTTCTGGGGGAAGCGGACTGAATACAGAGCCGGAAGAGGAGAGTGGCTGGTAGGGAGGAGCCTTGGAAGTGAGGACCAGGCGTTTGGAAGGGATGTGGAGAGGATGGGGAGCCCTTGGCGTGGAGCGAGGAGACCAGAACGGTGGGAGCTCTGGTTTAGCTATGAGGGCTGGACAGCCCAGAAGAGATGTAGGAAAGAGCACCAAGGGGAACACTGCACATGGCCACAGGTGTGGGGTAGATCTGGAGGTCAGTTCCAGATGTGGCAACAGAAGCCCTGGCAGTGGATGGGCTCAGAGCTTGAACAAGAAGGAGAGTTGCCACAACCCACTATTTACCTATCGCAGGTTACCGAGCTGGCCCCTCATCACCAGAGTATCTTGCACTCTGAGATATTTCTCTTCACAACGCCCCTGTGAGGGAAGGAAGTTTCCTTGTTCAGTGGCTACAGAGGGAAATTGAGGCACAGAGGGACTGGGTGACTTACCCAAGGTGTCTTCATACATGAACATCTGTATCAGGAGCTAGGAACTGAAGCCAGCTCTCCCAAGTCCCAGCTTAGCACCCCTAAGCACTGAACCATCCTTCCCTTTGCCAGGCCCTTGTCCCCTCACTATGCCACGGCGAGCTGGCAACCACAGGAGGCACCTTTAAAAACACTGAGGCCAGGTCTACACTAGAAAAGTTTAGCTACATCAGCAAACCCTTCCTGTGCAGACACAGCTCAAACCAGCAAGCAGGAGCTTTCACCGGTGTAACTTACACCAGTTCCCTGGGTGAAATAAACTACATCAGCAACACCATGTCTATGCCAGTACAACTGAGCCTACACCATGGATTTTCTCAGTATAGAAATGTTGCAAAAGTCACGCCCCTGCCCAAGATTACTGTCCCAGTAAAAGTTTCTAGCGTAGCTCTGGCCGGGTCAAATACTTCTGTAGAGCTGTAAGGACGTGTGTATACATTAGTTTGTGGCTCCAGAGCCAGCGGGAAGACAACAGGCGTTGGCAAAGTCCTCTCCTCCACGTTTCTCAGCAGGAGCGGAGAGGATCGTATGGCAAAGACGTATATTGGTTAGAGTAATGAAACAGATGGAAAAATCCTACCAGCCCCCATTGAGACCATCTCCCCAGCACCAGTGCAGTTCTAGTTCACATTTATCTGTAATTTCTCCACCCTTTACTTTGGCCTCCGGCGCTAGCTCTGAGAAGGGGAAGGAATCACACATGCGTGCGTGCCAGAGGACTTTCCCAAGCAGACTGTAACCATTTGCTACATGGATTCTGCTTGAGAGTGTCCCTGGACGCGTAAGTGCCAACATCCTGGCTGTCGTGTGCTTGGCAGTGGCTTGGAGCCCGGACATCCTGGGCTCATGCTCCTACACAGCAAAAGCAATAGCCATGATCCCCAATTTCACAGCCCCGGACTCAGGGGCTCAGCGAGCACCCGGGCGCCTTACCTCCTTTATGGCAGACATCTTGATGCTCTCGTAGTAATGTAGTGGCGCATTTGGTGAATTCATGTCGTAGCCAAATCCGGCTACTGCTACCTCATCGCAGTTGTGCAGTGCCATGGTGACTGCGACGCTTCCCAAGGTGGGGATGTTCTGAGGTAGGGAAAAGAAGGAATATCAATTGTTAGCAGGTTGTCAGCCTCAGAACAAACCCCGATGTCCAGCGAATGGCTCTGGGACATTTATTGCCTCTGCGGGGAAGTTAAGGGTAAGGCATTCAGCCACATCTGCGCCTCAGCTAGTGCTAACTCTCAGAGTCAACAGCCTCTGGATCTCTAGAGAAAACTCAGGTCTCCTAGGCACTACAGCAATTCAAACAACAACAATACATCCGGCTTGCCAGGTAGCTGCTTCCTGCCATCTGAAACACCCGGCCCACAAGCAGAGGCTCCTGTTCACGCGACCATGCTCGGCCTTTCCTGCATAAATATACCAAGGCAGAGCAATTCACGCACGAGGTTAAACCTCCCCTTCTCCAGCCTTTGGATCTTGGGGATAGGACAGTGAGTACTGCTGGGAGAGGAAGCACGAAATAGGTCAATTCTTTGCTGGAAGTGGGTAAATTTGTTTTCAGAGATTAAAATAGCCATAAGCACTGAGCTGCTGTTCTAAATCCAGGAACGGTTCTGAGTTAACAGAGGGGGAATACTAGTGCTGAACGGGGAACATAAAGCCTGGGATTCTGCATGGAGTCTCAACTCCAGCAGCTCTCAAAGCAGTTTAAGCAGGTACCGCTGCACTGCCTCTCACTCAGCTCTGCCTAAGCTCGAGAGACAGCGAGAGATTGAGTTATTCTGTCCCAGCTTTGGCATCTCTAGAGCCCCCCCCACTGTCCTGGCAAAGAACTATTCATCTGCCCAGCACTTGCCACACACAGAACTCCACCCGACCTGCTCCTGAGGGAGCAGCAACCAAGAGCACTGCTCCTCGGCTCAGGCAGGATGGGGTGCACAGCAGGTTTCGGGGTGTTGTAGTGTATTGGGGGTACCTGTGAAAGGGCAAGAACTACAGATGACTAAAATAATGACATTTATTAAACTCAAACTTGCCAAACGCAACTAGAAGGGTGTTCACTTGAAACGAAAATGGAACCAGCAGAGCATCCAGAGACGGGAGGTAACTGTCCCGCTCTACTCGGCACTGGTGAGGCCTCAGCCGGAGTACTGAGCCCCACGCTTTAGGAAAGATGTGGACAAACTGGAGAGAGTCCAGATCAGAGCAACAAAGATGGTAAAAGGTTTAGAAACCCTGACCTATGAAGAAAGGTTAAAAAAACCTGGGTCCGGTTAGTCTTCGGAAAAGAAGACTGAGGGGGGACCTCATGATAATTGTCAAATAGGTTAAGGGTTGTTATAAAGAGGACAGTGATCAATTGTTCTCCACCTCCACTGAAGGTAGGACAAGCAGTCATCACCTTCATCTGCAGCAAGGGAGATTCGGGTTCGGATAAGGAAAAACTTTCTAGCTCTAAGGGTGGCTAAGGTCTGGGACAGGCTTCCAAGGGAAGTTGTGGAATCCTCATGATTGGAGGGTTCTAAGAACAAGTTGGACAAACGCCTGTCAGGGATGGTCTAGGGTTACTTGGTCCTGCCTCAGCCCAGGGGACTGGACTTGATGAGTTCTCGAAGTCCCTACAATTCTATGTACTTCCCATAAAACCCGTCCATTAGCAACACTGTAGTTCCATTCATTGCAGTGTCACACACACACATTGTGTTGCAGCAGCATGCAAATGGTTATGTTTATGAGAACACAAAGCTGTTGAAGAATCTGATGGCCTGACTCTGCCCCCACTTACCTGGGCCCCATTCCCACGGGGTAGCTGATGGGAGAACTGGGGCCTTTGCCTGCAGGGATTTTTACTGGCCAAGTAAACACTTAAGAGCAAACATTCTAGTGTGAAATGTATAAACTGATGAGAACTGATCGTCACACTCAGTCTCCACTGGGAATTTCCAAACTGTTAGAATTTTATGTTTTTTAAACACAGTCCTGATTCTGTTCGCATACAGCTTGTTAATACACAGGTTCTAGTAATAAAAGGTGAATTTTCTCCAGGTCACAGAAATTTGAGCAAAGTACCTATTTGGCTGTAACTTGTACAATTCCTGTATTGCCCCTATCATGAGGATACCTGAGCACGTCTTTGGCTGCTCTTCTTTAAACCCCAACAAACAACCCACAAAGATTTCTTGATTTCTAACATTACACCAGTAACATCTGTCTAGTCCCATTACACTCAGAACTGACCCACTGGCCTCAGAAAAACAATTGTGTAGGCCCCTAAAATAACATGAAATTAGAAGACTTGCCTCTGTGGCAGCAGCTTTTACATTAACTAAGCAGCAATGCCTAGATAGTTCCCTTGCAACAGCACAGTTAAACTAAAGAACGACTAAATTCCTCTTCTCAGTCCCCCAGGTATGTGGCTCTCAGCTAGCCAAGAGAAATATGCAGCCACCTCTGCTGCTGAGCTACAGTATCACGATCTCAAAGCATGAAACCCCACCGCCTACGGGAGATCCACCAGAAGCCTCACTGAAAATGAACGTTAACTCTTCTGTCTGCCCCCAGACAACCCTGGGTCTCTGGTTTTCTTCCCTCCATTAAAAAAATGAAGTGAGCTCTCAATTCCGCAGTGAAGGCCCTAGGATCCTGTGGGTGCCCCCCGGCCCAGCTCTTCTTCTCCAAAGTACAGAGGAGCCAATATAGCAGCACGTCCCTCCCCACCCCACTCCCAGTGAAAGCACCTCTCAGCTCTGGTCAGTTGAGGCATGGCAGCTCTGGGGGTTCACTGGGACCAGGAAGCAACTACTCTATGTGGCTTGTTCTTAGAAGATGCCTGTTCCTTCCACACTGTCCTATGCTACAGGAAGAGGAGAACAGGGTGTTCCTATAAGGGATTGGAGTTTCCATCCCCTGTGAATCCCTGCTGTCTGTGAGGTTTGGAGGCTGTGCTCCCGTCCCTTGCCCCCTAAGAGAGAACTCCACCCCGTACACTGCACAGTTCCCTTCACTCTCCATCCCCATCCTGCAAGTTTAAATGAGGTGGATGCCATATGCCCCACCAGTCTGAATCCACAGAGTCTGTGCTGTTTAAAAGCAACAGGACCCGACTGAAACTTTCACTGAACTTTAACTGCTTCATGTGAAATCTCTTGCTGCTTTTAATGCCTTGGCAGGGTCATTCCGGTGTCACTGCCTTTTGGGCTGGAAGGAAATGACTGCTGTAAATCTGTTTTTCGAAATATTTGACACTCTTCTTACCTTAAATGAGTTCCAGTCATTTATGGGGTTTAACCTAGTTCAGTTAAAGAAATACTAAATTTTCCAAATATTTCCATTATCTTTGTCTTTAAATAAAAGGACAAGTGTTGTTAAACTACATTTCTGAAAAGCAGCATAAAGACAACCGAATATTAACATTGACTTTAACTGATACATTAACTTAATGTCGCCTTATTTTTTTGGCAAAAAGGAGAGGTCACTCCGAGGTCTGTGTCCCTGTGGGTGCTACACGGGAGTTCTCTGAGGTCTGTGTCCTCCACCTCCATTTTGTGTACCCCAGGGCCTTTGGTTGAAGAGTTCTGGTGGCAGTACCTGTTCGGCCCAAGCATGCACCCTACACATCCTTGTGCCCTGTAGTGAGGCAACCTAGGGCTGTGTGGGCAAACCACCCTCAGTTCCTTCTCTACAGCAAAGCACACGGGGCAGCTCCGAAGCAGAAGGGCAAGCGGTGGAGCCCCCACAGAGGGATGCGGTTACTGCAGTAGGTGAGCAATCTCTCCTTCTTTGAGGAGCGCCCCTGTAGGCGCTCCACTTTAGGTGACTCCCTAGCAGTAACCCTTTCAGGAGGTGGGATTTTCAGGGTAGAGTCTGTCACTGAAGAAACAACTGTGTTGCTCACTGCCACATCTGATCCTGCAGCATGAACTGGGCACAATGGTTGGAAAATGTGCGCATTGAGGGCCATGTCGCAGGCCTGCAGATTTCAGCAACTGGAACGTCTTTGCACAGGGCTACAGATGTAGACTGCGATCTAGAAGAGTGCAGGCACCCGTAGGGAAGGTGTAACCTCAGAGAAACCATAACAAGCAATAACACATCCAGAGATCCACTTAGAAAACCTGAGTGGAGACAGGTGCCTTAGACCTGTCTGCAATAGAAACAAAGAGTCTAGGGGGTCTTTCTGAGTGGCCTAGTCCTGTCGAAATAAAAGGTTAATGCCCTCTTAACATCTAGCATATGAAAGGCAGATTCCTGTATGGACTGATGCTGCTTAGGAAAAAACCCCAGAAGGTGAATAGTTTGGGTTGATGTGAAATTCAGGGGACTTCTTAAATAAAAACTTTGGATGGGGTTGTAAAGATAACCTCTCCTTGAAGAACAAAGTAAAAGGACAGTCTGCCATTAGAGCCCCCATCGCCCCAAACCTTCAAGCAGAAGGGATAGCCACCACAAAGGCCACCTTCATAGACAGATGTAGCCGCGAGCACGTACCTAGTGGCTCAAAGGGCTGTTTCATAAGACAGTTAAGAACAAAGCTGAGATCCCAAAATAGGGGCTCTAATGTATGGGAAAAGTTGGATAAGTCCTTTCAGGAATCTCGCTGTGCTTGGACAAGTGAATACTGAGAAACCTTCTACTGGCACATAGAAAGCTGCTATTGCAGCTCAATGAACCTTCATGGAACTCATAGGAAGGCCTGCATTTTTCAATTCCGACAGGTAATCCAAGATTGTGGAAAGGGATGAGTGGATAGGAGAAAGGTGGCACCTGTTATACCAAAGATATCTTCTCCATTTCTGACGGTACGTATGCCTTGTAGTTTCCTTTCTGCTATTTAAAAGTACCTTTTGTACTTCCAATGAATGGGCGATCTCTAGTCCCAAGAACCACTAAGGAACCAAGCTTGCAGTTACAGAATGTCCAGACTGGGGTGAAGCATCTGACCCACACCCTGAGATACTAGCCGAGGTATGATCAGGAGCCACCATGGAGGGTGAGAGGTGAGTTTGATGAGGTAAGGAAACCAAACGTGTCTTGGCCAAGTTGGTGCAATCAAAATGACTTTGGCATGGTCCTGTGTGATC